CCCCCCCCCCCCCCCCCCCCCCCCGGTGAGTGCCATGTGGACACACATCAGTGATCAGCCATTAAACCCTGTTGGGGATAAGACAATCCTGTCGAGAAAGGGACTCCCAAATGGCCCTCAATTGCTGAAAATATAAAGGGGTTCGTCCCAGGAAAAGAGTAAAGGCAGACTGAAGCTCGTGGAATTTCTGGCTTTATTGCTGCGAGGGCAGCATGAGGCTGTAGCAGAAATTGAAGGTCAGCTTTGAAATGGGACGAAAAGAAATCTTGGGTACAATGCAAGTCAATGCAACAAACTGGAACTTGGATTGTTATGAAATGTCTGTCACGCAGCATTTATCAGGAATAAATTCAGAAACGAGGGTAGGTACTTCTGTGGGGCCATTGTCCTTATTCACTTCCTGCTCCCCAAATGAGGAAACTGCTTATTGCGTATCTACTCATTGCAGGAATTAATATACATGAATGACGTACGGGTTCTGCTTTTCAGAGATGAGAGGCGTCTTTAAAACGCTCTGTTGCTGCGTTGGCCGCAGAATCTTTAAACGTAGGTGGCTAAATTTACCCCAGAATGAATTACTGTACACAGGACGAAGCAATCTGCTAGAAATGCGAGTTTCAGCACTGATTTATGAGCGACGTATTTGCTGGACAGCTTAATGGTTTGTGTCCCTGTCCTTGATGCTTGCTGATGCCGTTTGTGGGTCATAACCCTACCAGGTTGAGGGAATTTGCGATGGTGAAGGGAAATGTTTCCTCTCTAAAGCTGCCGTCTCTTCGCCGTGCTGTGGGGTACTGCCTGTCCCAGGATAGGGGGAGATGTCGTTGGACCCTTGAAAAGATGCCAGGCAACTCGGACGGCTAAAAGCGCGTAAATAAATGAATCTGAGAGCCGGCATGTCGCTGTAATCCTGCCCTGCGTAGCTCTGCTCGGGTGGAATTACCAGCTTGCCGCCCCTGCCCAGCTATTTATCCGTTACCTGGACGGGCTTGCACCCCCCTCCCCCAGCACACTCTCGGCAGCCTGCAGCAGGCCAGTGCTGCATTATTGATGCTCTGCTGGCAGTCGGCTCTCTCTCACAGGGCTCTGGTTTCTGCTGTGCCCCCCCCTCCCGCTGGCCTGATTGCCCGCAGGGTCGCTGGTTTCAGTGCCACTTTGCCTGTTCTGCTCATGGTGGCTTATTCAGTAGTGATGCACCCATATGCTAAACTGCCCGATACATTTTTGTCTAATGTTACCGACGCTGATGACCTCTGACCTCTGGGGAGGGGGCGTTCTGGCACTTGCTGGCACAGATCAGCAAAATTACATTTAATTCTGTGGGAAACAAAAGGTGGATCTGCGGGCCTGATTCAATGATGAATTATTTATGCGTTGAAGGTCGCGTAAATCTGTGTCAAAGGCCGAGGTTTCTTCAAAGTAGTGAATAAGCCAAGAAAATCCCTCAAATGTTGTTGAAGTTTAAACACCAACTTTCCATGAATATTGGCCAATGCCGATGGTGTGGCTGATATATCGTGCATCCCTGTTACATGGGAAGCGTTTTCGCCCAGCCTGAAGCCCTCTGGGATTGTTGGCATGCGCAGGTGCCACATGCCGTCAGCGTGACTCCTGCTGGCCCCACCAGTCGGCCGTCTAGGGCGAGTGCCCCCGGGCCTCTGATCACGACGCGCCGTCCGCTCCGTGCTTCTCTCCGCCACTCAGGTTTCTGTTTTCATCAGCACCTGCCAACCTGGCCTCACCCTGTGTGACCTCCAGCCCAGCGCAGGTTTCCTTTAGTACCTTCTGTGAATATTCATATATTTTCAGATCATTTTTAGATCTCTGCGCCTGTCATGGCTGTGCCAGTTATTTCCCACAACAGAGATGGTTCTCTCTCGGGTCCTCGTCTCACTCGCCCATTTTTCTGGTCCCACCAGAAGCTGTGTTATCTTGTCCCGGTTTTCTCGCCCACGCCCTGTTCCTGCATCCCAGCAAGCACGCCTGGGATATCAGCTGCATGTGGTTTGCGGTTTGGCTGCTTGTATGAGAGCATGTTCGCATCCTGTGAAGAACCTCTTTATACCTGCTCTCCACCGGAGGCACCTTCCGGCCTTGGCGGTTCTGGGCGGGAGCGCGTGTCCGTGGTGCTGCTCCGCCCCCTTAGTGTTGACCGAGGCTTTTCTCTCCACCCATTTCTGCAGGTGTCGCCCAACTGAGCCCAGACAGGAAGCTGTGTTTGGAATAGCCCCGCCCCCCTCTCACTCCCTTACGGCGGGCGGCCCACCCACATGCACGGCACCATGGGTAGCTCCCCTGAGGTACTCTCCTGGACCTCCTGCCCCAGCCTGCTGGTGGGGAAGCTGAAGGAAGAGCTGAAGCTGACCGTGGTGGGGGATGCCATGAAGAAGGCGGGCTCAGGTGGGGGTGCCCAGACCCAAACCCAAACTCAGACCCCAAACCCGATCCCGGCTCCGCCGCAGATCATCGCCGATCTCGTACCGCCAGTTCCGCCACCCCCGTCCTCGTCACCGCCTCCCGCCCCCATCACGCTGCTGCAGCCGCCTGGTCCAGAGGAGGAGGCAGGGCTGGGGGGCAGCAGCCCGCCGGCCTTGGCGCTCAGCGAGGACTCGTCCCGCGAGCAGAGGCACTTCGACAACAGCGTGCTGCAGCTGCGCGAACAGGAGGACGGCGAGTCGCCCGGCGGGGGCTGCGGAGACGGCGACGGGATGGGTGATGGCGCTAGTGAGGGCGGGTACCCGGATGGTCACCATGGCGACGGGGCCGGCCACCACCCTCGGGAAGACATCAAGCTGCACTTCCAGAGGGCGGGCGGCGGCGGGAACGGGGGCAGTGGCTTCCTAGAGGGGCTCTTCGGCTGCCTGCGGCCTGTCTGGAACATCATCGGGAAGACCTACTCCACCGACTACAAGCTGCAGCAGCAGGGTAGGTACAAGAGTGCAACCCCATGTCAAAGCCAGTAGGGCGGCGCCGCAGACCCCCAGATCTCCCCAGTCAGAGCAACGCACTCCCTGCGACTCTGTACCTGTAGGGCTAAGCAAATCACTAAACATGGCTTCCTATCCCCAGCCCAGCGCCCCCTTTTCCCGTTGCCTGGGGCTTTTTAGTGGGATACGGCTGAAATTCCACCCCGGCTGGGTGGATCGACAGGCCCTCAGCAGGCTCTCTATTACCCCGGGACACTGATACTCTGCCAGGACATGGAATGTCATTCGATGTTCAGCATTGTAGCTGGAGACTGACTCTTGCTCCAGGGAAAGCACTGCCCACGTGGATCGGGGTGGGGGGTGTCTGAACTATGCTCCCCTCCCAGTGAAATCCATGCCTGTCTGCTATCTGGAAGCGCCATGACCGGCAGGTCAAGTGGTGTTGACAGTATACTGGTCAGCCTGGGCTCACCTGCTTGTAAAAGGACAAGGTCTCTCACGGGAATTAGAACTTTCTTGAATGTTCTGGCGTTATTTTTTTTAGCCTGTTGCTTTTTCAATCGTCCCGTAGCTCTGGCTTCGTCTCGGATTAATGGCCGAGTCGCCGTGAATGGGCAGGTGTGGTCTAAGATCTCCAATTGGTACCGCCCCCCCCCCCCCCCCCCCCCCCAGACATGTGGGAGGTCCCGTTTGAGGAGATCTCAGAGCTGCAGTGGCTGGGCAGTGGGGCGCAGGGAGCAGTCTTCCTGGGGAAGTTCCACTCCGAGGAGGTGGCCATCAAGAAGGTGCGCGAGCAGAAGGAGACCGACATCAAGCACCTGCGAAAGCTCAAGCACCCCAACATCATCAGCTTCAAGTAGGTCCCCGTCTGTGGCACATTCACGCCAGCTTGCCTGGTATAGACCACCCTGCCAGGGCAGTCATCTGAATGTGCAGTTTTCTTATGCATGACCCTTAGGTGCCTTAATTCTCACGTCTCCTTCTCCCTGACGTTCGCCCACCTGCCCACAGGGGCGTGTGCACCCAGGCACCTTGCTACTGCATCATCATGGAGTACTGCGCCCAGGGCCAGCTGTACGAGGTGCTGAGAGCGGGCCGCAAGATCACCCCCCGCCTCCTGGTGGACTGGGCCTCAGGGATCGCCAGTGGCATGAACTACCTGCACCTCCACAAGATCATCCACAGAGACCTCAAATCCCCAAAGTGAGCGAGAGATCCGGCGGGTCAGAAATGGGTTGACGTGGCACGCCCGCGTTTAACAGGCTGGGCTCACTATGGCACCCTCGGCCATATCTGTGACCTTTACGTGACTATGGAACTTAAGCTGTTGGGTAATATTTGACAGGTCATGGCAGATGGGTGGGAACGATTAAATCGATAACGGAGATGAGCAGGTCTGCCAGGCGCTCTTATGCTGATGTGCAATTTGGTCTGATAACTGAAGAGCAGTGTTTTCCAGTCCAGTCTTTGGAGACCCACAGATAGTCCACGTTTTTGCTCCTACCGGGAGCTGGGAGGGAGCAAATACATGGACCGACAGTGGACCCCCAAGGACCGGAGTGGGAAACTGCTGTAGAGGGTTTCATTTTTTTCCCCACTCTGTGAGTACAGAGAGCAGCCAGCTGTCGACACAAGGAAGCATTTGTGGTTTGCTTTCCACTCTGCTACTTTACTCGGCTGTCACTGGCTTTCAGAGAAGCAGTTAAGGATCTATTTTATAATGAAACACAAGCCATACTTTTAGGGTGATATCTGCTACAGAGCAACTGGAAAGTGAAAGTAAAGCTGTCAGCTGTAAAATGTAAAGCATTTCAAATGATTGATTTTGTATCTGTACGTGTTTGTGCTGTTGCTGCTGCAGAGGGTCAGAGTTGTATGCTCTGCAGAGATCTGGCCTGCAGAATTGGTCTTTATGTGGAGTGTTTTATTCTATCCCAGTGTACTGGTCACCCACAACGACACTGTGAAAATCTCCGACTTCGGGACCTCCAAAGAGCTCAGTGACAAGAGCACCAAGATGTCCTTTGCAGGGACGGTGGCCTGGATGGCACCGGAGGTGATCCGCAACGAACCGGTGTCCGAGAAGGTGGACATCTGGTGAGTGAGGCCGGCCCATGCTCTCCTCGCGTTTGGAACGCAGTGAGACGGTGTCACTGGCTCTGAATGACACAGGACTCTGGTTGCCTATTGAGCCTACGGTTGCACAGCTGGTGTTCTGTAGACCATTAGTGTAAAAACTGCTTTGCAGTCCCTGGAATGACTGAAGTTCTGTTGGGAAGGTTTATTTAATCTTCGCTGCATTTATTACTTGGCAAATGGTCTCACAGAAGAACTTTAGTGAGGCCATTTTCCAAGCATGGTATTCCTCTGTCCTAGGGCAGTTCAGGTCCTTTCTCAAGGTCACAGCAGGAGTTTTTCACTGTGTTAGTCGCTGACCATGAAATGCAGGTTAATGATGCAGCCAGATAAAATATATCATATACAGACACACACAAATGTGTGTGTGTGTGTGTGTGTGTGTGTAATAGTGTAATATAGGGGTGAAACTGTGGTAAGTTGCATACTGATGATGACGGTGGTAGATGGTGATGATGTCAATATCGTTAATAGTTTGTGGGATTACTTGGTGATGATGTTGGTAGTTGATATTCGGCCATCGCATTACGCCTTGTGCCCCCTCCAGGTCATTCGGGGTGGTGCTGTGGGAGCTCCTGACAGGGGAGATTCCATACAAAGATGTGGACTCCTCGGCCATCATCTGGGGTGTGGGCAGTAACAGCCTGCATCTCCCAGTGCCCTCTACTTGCCCCGATGGCTTCAAGATCCTCATGAAGCAGACCTGGTGAGGAGAATGTTCGACTGCCTCTGTCGTACCCGCGTGCTTCGGCATGACCTCCTCCAACCTCATCTGCCATGGCGTCCTGCTTTGCCCCCCCCCGCAGGCAGGGGAAGCCCAGAAACCGACCCTCCTTTCGGCAGATCCTCCTGCACCTCGACATTGCTTCTGCCGACGTGCTTGGGGCACCTCAGGAGACCTACTTCAAGTCCCAGGTGAGGGCACCACTGTGACTTTCTGGCAAATCTCCCAGAGGTGGTGAGGACAGAGCACTAGGGTGTGTTTACCTTACGCTTACAGGGTATTTCAGAATGCCCTGGAATAGCTTAAATTGCCCCCAATAAATAGTCATGCGGCCATCTAACCATTTTACGACCAGATTAACTAGGTATGGTTCACAGTCCAGTAGATATTTTGTTGTGTAAGAAACAACTGCTTCCATTGGATAATGGCTCAGCTACGATGATCGCGTGTGTGCGAGCATGCATGTTATGTATATATTACATTGTGGGGACCAAATGTCCTTGTTATTTTGATGCTGAAGGGAACGTGTTTTCTGATCTCACAAGGGGAAGCTCAACTTTCTAAAAATCTGTGATTGCAATGAAAAAACCAATAGTGCCAAAAATCTTGTATTTTGTTCAGTTATGGTTAAGGTTAGGGCTGGGTAGGGGTTAAGGTTGTCATTGTTGGGATTACGGCTTTTCCTATATAAATGAATGGACAGTTCCATAATCCTATGAACACAAATGTGTGTGTGTGTGTGTGTGTCTCCCAGGCTGAATGGCGAGAGGAAGTAAAGAAGCACTTTGAGAAGATCAAGAGTGAGGGTACGTGTATCCATCGGCTGGATGAGGAACTGATTCGGCGGCGGCGGGACGAGCTCCGGTGAGAGTCAGCAGCTGTCCGCCCCAGGATCGGGCCCCACCTCCATCTTGCCTGGTGTTTGACCTTCCCCCTCCTGCCCCTTGCAGACACGCCCTGGACATCCGGGAGCACTATGAGAAGAAGCTAGAGAGGGCCAACAACTTGTACATGGAGCTGAGTGCCATCATGCTGCAGCTGGAGGTTCGCGAGAAGGAGCTAATGAAGTAAGCCTCCACACTCCATCTTCTCTCCCCCCCGACGTTTTCCTTACTGAGCCTAGGATCTCCCAGAGACCTCCCAGTCATGGAGCGATCCAGTGCTACAGCTTACAGGCTCATGCATCTAACCTGAGACCAGCCAATGTCCCAGCCTTAAGAGACTAACCTGTCATCTCTGGAATCCCCTGAATGAATGGAAATTAAATGTGAAATGTGCCTTTTGTCACTTGAGTTTTTGACGAGGTCATCCTTGTTCCAGAATTATTCCACTTCTGTCTTTTAATGCTCTGATTTAGAATTTTTAGGCAAATGCTGTGTTGATGATTTTAAAGTGGGTAAATCGAGCAGGTCCAGTGAATCCTTGCTATAGGTGCATGAATGGTATGTGAGTGTGATATTGCCCCGTGATGGGTTGGTGCCCCATCCTGAGTTGTTCCCTGGGTCTGGAGCCTCCAGATAGGCTCCAGACCCCCTGTGACCCTGAATAGGACAGGAGGTTACAGAAGATGGATGGACGGGCGGATGGAGAAACACACATGATTTTTCACAATGAACTTTTTAGTCATTAGAAAACATCACAAATTTGTTTAGCTAAAAAACATGGTCTAATAGCGGAGTTATTAAGTTATACCCTAATCCTTTCTGGAACAGCACAAAATTAAGGGCCCTCAGTCATTAAATTATTAACATCCCACATTATGTGCACAGTATAATTTTCACAGCTCACTGTTGGCAAGAAAAATGGTTGCCAGTCTTGTTAGGACATTTTGTTTCACTAGATTAGCCATTCCAACAGACGAATTGGTGTAATACTGTCCTTTTGTACCCGTGCTAGCAAGTACTCCACTCTGCCCCCTGCAGGAGAGAACAGGCAGTGGAGAAAAAGTATCCTGGAACATACAAACGGCACCTGGTTCGGCCCATCGTGAGGACCAACGCTGTGGAGAAGCTAATCAAGAAAAAAGGCAGCGTGTCCCACAAGACGGGGGTCCAGACAGCCAAAAGGTCAGAGGTTGCTAAAAGGCGGAATTGATTCCAGAGCCTGTCATTACCGCACTTTTAAATGATTGTTTTATTTATCGCAAACCACTCTGACTTTTGACCTTCTGCAGGCCGGACCTGCTTCGCTCTGACGGAATATCCAGTGTGGAGACGCTTCCCTCCCCCTCGCCGCTGTCGGGCAGCCCCCGGATGTCCACTCCTCCGGGCAAGGCCAGGTATCGCAGCAAGCCTCGGCACCGGCGCGCCAACAGTAAGGGCAGCCACAGCGAGATCTCGGCGGTCTTGCGGGGCGGAGCCTTGGCCCCAGAGGAACAGCAGCCCCTGCAGGCACCGGCTGAGGGGCCCCGTCTGCCGCTGCCAGGCCGCGAGGACGCCGCAGCCAACTGCGCCAACAACCTGCGCTACTTCGGCCCAGCGGCTGCCCTGCGCAGCCCGTGCTCAGACCACCCGCGCCAGCGCATCTCTATCGCCGGCTCCGGGCCTGACCTGCTCTCCACCACCGCGGAAGCCGATTCAGGACGCCAGGGCCCCAGCACCGGGCCTCTGTGTCCACGTTGCCAGACGCACCCCTTCCCTGGCTGCTCGCACTGCCCCGGTGTGACCTCCTTCCCCAGCCACCCCCAGCTGCCCCACTATTCCCTGCTGAGTACTGGCGAGGGGTCTCCCCCCGCTACCCCCAGCAGCCACGCCCCCATGACAGCCCCCGAGCATGAACCCCAGGATGAGGGAGTGCGGCAGGAGCCAGAGTCCCCCACGAACCGCTCGCCCCTGGGACTGCCCCGCACTCTGAGGCCCCTCAGGAAGGTGAGCGGTGGGATTACACCCACAGAGCAGCTCAAGTCGGGCAAACAAGGAAATGCAAACAAAAATTTGTGATGTCAGAAAAATCTCTCATTCGTCAGCATAGTAAAAGCAAGACATTCAGTAAGCTGACCCAAAAATGTATGTAAATCGAGTTCAGACAGTTAACATGCTGCATTATCACATAGGTAGTTAGTTAGCAGAGATCTTTGGCTGTGCATCTGCTGCACTCATTGACGCAGCATCGCTGATGACCCGCATGTACTTCCAGGGCAGCGACGAGTCTTCCGAAGAAGAGGAGGGGGAGGTGGACAGCGAGGTGGAGTTTCCACGGAGACAGAGGTAACCGGCGGCCTTTAAGCGGTCAGATAGTCAGCTTAGTCACCCTGAACCTGATTGGCGCGTGACTGAACATGCCAAAGCTGGGTCAGCTGGGACAAAATGATTTGAAGGTGCCTGTATGGAGGGACCTTTGTGGACCACTCTATCCAGCAGGACTCAGGTGCCAGATATCCATGATGTCCAGGTGTTTTTGTGAGAAGCAAATAAAAATCCTACGTGCGTTTTGTCTAGAGAGAGAACTGAATACTTAAATGAAAAGGGGCGTTTGGTCCTGATGTTCTTTGCATTGTCGGACAGAGATGGCCGCCCATCATTCATTCATTCACTCATTTATTAATCCTTATTTTACCAGGCAGAGCATAAGAACCGTTTCTTATTTACAGTGACGCTGGTGTCCTCCCTAATGTCTCGTGGATTCCACACCCCTCCAGGCCTCACCGCTGCATGAGCAGCTTCCAGTCCTACTCCACCTTCAGCTCGGAGAACCTGTCGGTGTCGGACGGCGAAGAGGGCAACACGAGCGACCACTCGCACAGCGGGCCTCTGGAGCAGCTCAGCGGCAGCCAGGAGGAGCAGCTGGACGAGCTGCTGTCGCAGACGCCCGACATCCCCATCGACATCTCCAACCAGTCCGACGGCCTCTCTGACAAGGAGTGTGCCGTCCGCCGGGTCAAGACCCAGATCTCCCTGGGCAAGCTGTGTGCCGACGAGCACAGCTATGAGGTCGGTCCCCATCACCCCCTCTCTTTCCTCCTAGTTTCTCGCGGCAGTTTCCCATTTCCTATAGATCACCCTTTCAACCTCCTCTGTCTGCTGCCAGTGTGTTTTGTAAGGAAAATTGTCTCATACGCTAATGTTACAATACACATCAAATACAAACTGCATGAAGACTGTATTTCACAAAGGAGTAACTGTAGACCCGCTGATGTCATGTATAAGCTGAGTATTATCGCTAGGAACTGTAATTTACCATCTTCGCCTCTAGATGGCGACATTGTGAATTTATCGCAACTCATGCCAGTTAACTTAAGGGCTATTTAACGTGTAATGTTATACAGCTGCTAATAGACGCCAGATTCTAGTTCACGTGTGTGGTGTTGCCGGCTTTTGGCTTGGTGGTGCTGTTGTGTCTGGGGTTCTTGCCGCCACCCGTGCTCACTGGACCCCCACCCTCTCTTCAGAACCCGCTACACTTCAGGGAGTCGGACTGCGACTCCTCCGAAGCCGAGTGCTCCGACTGCACCGTGAGGAACAACAAGCCCAGCGGCACCTCCACCTGGTGAGAGCCCCGGTGTGGACAAGCCTCGCCAGCCCCCGCCCCCACCCCCACAGATAAACGGCAATAAGAGGAAGCTGTCATCCCCTGGCAAGGACTGCTGTAGCATCCATGTGCTCTCAGCCCCACCTTCACTCTGCACTGCTCAGCAGCCCAAAGCAGGGACCCCCATTTGTTAATACCACTGTAGTTAGTGTAACATTCACAGTATATTTTTGAGTTGAATGACGAAAAACAACAAAAGGACACTGTTTAAAAAAAAAAAAAAAGAAAAGAAAACTGTAACCAAACTTTGTATAGCGTGGAGTATGTTTGCTGAGAATGCAGCGTGGTTCGGGTCAGCTGACCCGGCAGGGTGGTGTGTCTGTGATGATATCACTGGGTCTGGGGTCCTGCCCCCGCCATTCACAACCTCCCACTCCGGCCCTCCGACGAGGAGTCGCTGTGCCACCTCAGGACTCGCCTCCGCCTGACCAGTACAGTGCAGACCATTCCAGTATAGGACCAAAGGTGAGCACTTTCAAACATCCCCCCTTCCCCCTCGTTAGCCAGCGCGATCCTCTCGACCAGGAATACCTGCCAGTTATCATTTTGTGGGTTTGCAGAGTCCCTCTCCAGGAGGAAGGTTGGGTTGGGGGGCGTACAGTGCGGCTTGAACACCAGCATGAACTACCCCCTCCTGGCCAAACCGCTCCCAGCGGAACCTTCCAGACTTCTCGCCCCAGCATGTCTGCTCAGCCTGTGACGCTAGACTACCTAAAGAGCATGTGTCCTGTTGTCAGGGAAACGGATAAGCAGATTCAGACCCAGCGTGTATTTAAAAAAACAAACCGCAGTTTCAACTAGCTGAGCTTAAATAGGCCGGATCAAAGGAAACTCTTTCGCCTTTGCTGCTGTCCAGTACGTTTGTTATTCTGCGAAGGTACCTGTTTTTGGGGGAACACGAACAAAAACCAAACCAGTGTTTTAATTTCTCTCCATCTGTCACTTTCCTGTTCCCCTGCTTGTTGATCTCCTCTGTATGTGATCAGATTGGGACTCTTATTGATCCTCCAGTTGTGGACTTTAGGCTGTGGCCTAATTCTAAGCTTTCACTCTTTAAAAAAATTTTTTAAAAAAGAGTGTTGCTTTCTTCAGTGTTTGAACAAAATTAGGTCTGAAGTAGCTTCTTTTCAAGATGCGGTACCCATTAGTCCAGGAACCCTGTCTTTCTGCCTTGTCTCATTCCGTTCTGTGCAGAAGTAATGTTTTGTTTGTTTAATCCGGGGAGTGACCAGGACAGGTGCCCCCATGTGTGTTTGTGTGGGTCATGGGCGTCAGAGAGCAATAATGTAGCTCCGGCTTGGACTGGGGGAGCTGGGGATCGCACGCTCAGGGCTGTCTAGCAGGCTGGACAGACGCATCGTCCATTTTATTGGAGACGAGTGACGAGCAGCTCTTTATTTAATACTTTTTATTTGTTGGACTTAATGTGAGGCAACACTGCCGTTTGCCTTTCAGATGCTCAGGTGTCCGACGACTGCTTTTCGCGGGGAAGCCCGCAGTGTCTGACGGTCCACCGAATGGTGACGTTCTTCTGGGCTCACATTGCACTATCGCCATCAGCTACGGTCTGAAGTTAAGGTTCAGAGCCTGGGCTCGATCGGGATAATTTCCGTTTGTCTTGTTTTTTTTTCCCGGTACTACCCCCCCAGCTTTCTGTTTATCGAGGAAGGGGTACTGCATCTTTCCCTTGACCGCTGTCATCATGTCTGTGTTCCTCTTCGCTCCTGTAAGCATCTGTAGTATTGAGGTCCCCGCAGCCAGTCAGAACTTAAGGAAAAGCTTCTGGAGCTTGCAGATGTGAGGAGAAGGATTGTGAGTACCATTATGGCTAAATCCATCACTCATATTTCCTACCAGTTTCTCACCTCTGAAATCTTCTCAGACTTGTGGGTATGTCTATTTCACGGCAAGGATTTGTTGGTATGAACAAGGCCATAGAAAACAAACTTTGGTTCTGTGAGCTGCAGTATGGGCACTCACAGTCCCCCTCTGTGTTATAGCACGGGTGATCCTACGTGCTGATATTTATGACCAACAGCCACAACTTGTACCATGTGACTTGTAAGAAGGGCTAGCTGGCCGCTAAGTCCCCCCCCTACTTCCTTATCACCCCCCGTTGAGTGACTGATTTGGTGAGCTGAACAGTGGGCGGTGTCTTGTTCAGAATGATTGTTCTCTGAGTGTGACCTTCTGCTGTGGCAGTAGGCCATTTGAGGTGTTACCTGACCCCCCCCCGCCACTGTTTACAAGGTTTCAAAGGATTTTTGTTCCAAACCAATCACTGGAAAATCATCAGGTGGTGTTTGGAGTGAAGGACAATGTATTAGGGGCGGAAATGCTGTAACATCTTGTAAATTATGATTGATTTTAATGTGTTCGTTTAATTTAAGCTTTGTGTTTTTTTTTTGTAGCTGGCCTACATGATCATTAAATTAATTTATGTTTTGATGTAAAACCTGTTTTATCGTAGATCAGGATGTTAATATCTGGCAGCTTTTTCCCGCAACCTGTCAGCAGTAAGACTCCATTCCCGAGTGGATGAGGCAGGCCTGTTGAGAGTGAAAGCAGCTGTTGGTGTCAATCTGACAGGGCCTGCAGATCAGCTGCAGCTAGTCCTGGGTGTCTCTCACCCCAGTACGGGTCTCCCATCGGTGATTGCCCTGGTAGAGCAACGTTATCGCCCACACAAGTAGGTAATGCTTGCTGAGCTGGGGAATGAAAGCGGTTGCTGATGACCCAGGCTGGCCACTCACACTCACGCACTCTTAATTAAACTTAGACAGCCTTCTGCTGCTCTGCTTTACTTTAGGCTGATGCTCAGCTCTGCTCTTCATGGGCAATGGATGCTGTACAAGGTCTCCCTCAGTATGGCTCTTTACTAGCTAGTATTTGCCCACTGGAGAATGAATGGCAGCAAACAGATCTAGGCAGACATCACACCCCACCTGAGAATCATAAGATATTGGTGTGGGATGAAAGCCCATAAGATAGAAGGTAGAGCCTGGATTATTAGAGAGACCAGAGGTCCCATTGCCTTGAGTCCCACCATGGACCTTCAAGGACTCTTCTCTTAAGTTCTGTCACACATCCCAGCAGCTGCTTTCACCCAATTCCTGTCAAAACGTGGGAACTGTCTTGAGGAACTGATGAACCTACCCCGCTCAGGAGGATTCTCCTGGCTGTCCCACCCAATCCGCTCCTCCTGTTACTCGTTGTATTCCCCCTTCTCTTACTCCCGATTGGCTTCCCGATGAACCAATCCTGATAATATCCTCTAGTAGCCAGTGTACAGTGCAACGGGGGAACTAGGAGGAATAAGAGAATCAGCAAACAACTGCATGGAATAAAAGCTGATGTACTGTACTGAAAATGACTGTTTCCTCCTCCTTTGCAGTTCTGAGTCTTTGCACGCCGATCTAACATCATATCTCTGTATCCATGGATTTACACAGAACAAGGCCACCTCGCCACTGCAGCCAACACAGAGCCCGCCTCTTGTGTTTCTCATCGAATGAAATAAAAGTTTGGGCTTCGACACATCCAGTCATTGGACAGAAAAAGATCTAGGGACGGGGGCATTGAGGTCACTGCTTGCCCAGTTATTTAGGTCAGCTGTGGTAGTATGGTGCCTGTGCATGACAGTGTAGCCCATGACCTAAATCCACATCCGTGACAGGCCAGCAGGATGTATGGCGGCAATCCTTTCCTGCCCCATTAATGAAGAACAATGTGCTCTAAACATCTGCCTCACTCAATTTATGTCCAACCTGGCCGTTTTCAAAGCTTTGATCTATTTCAAATATATTTACCTGGTGGCCTGTCTCTGGTCGCAAGGCGCTCCATCAAGACAGGATGTGCTTTGTCCTTCCCTTTGTTTTCAGGCTGACTGTTTCTGGGATGGACCATCTATTGTTTTATTTTGACAAATGGGCAAGAGCTTCATCAAATCTGGTGGATGTAAAAATTGTCAGGGATTATTTGGGACGTGCAGGCCTGTGGGAAGATGTACTGCAACTAGCAAAACAAACATGGCTGAGAGAGTGACAACCACCCACACTAGAAAGTGACACACTTAAATTTCAGTGCAAGAACTAAGTCCTGAACTTCTTATAAAACCATTTGAAAGAATTGGTGACCCTGGGAATGTGCAAAATCTGCAGATACAGCAAACAGAGTCCCCCCTCTGTTATACTCAGCAGCAAGTGATAGGGTACTGATAACAGCCACCACACCCATGCAAAGTACTACTGCTCATGTTTGATATTCTCTGCTTCTTGGCATAAGGAAGTTGTTTTTGTGCATTTACAGAATTTCGCATTTGGGACCAAAACAACCGGACACAAGTCGGTTTGGGCATGTCTCGATATTGTAGTTGTCCATCACACATGCATTACTCACAATCAAGGGGGGGGGGGGTCTCCACCCACGTGATAAGTTCCATGGGGTTGATTATGGGGGGGGGGGATTACATCCCCCTCATAATTTATTTTACGCCTATGCTCACAATAAATTATGCATACTGTACTACAAGTTGGATATGGACAGTGGGTCATTATACGGCTGACGGCGCTGCTCATTCTCCTGCACCTGTTACACTAAGCGATGTACCCGCTAGCGTCCTGCTACCTCCGCTTTCAGGCGTCTCACCACCAGCGTATATTATTTACTACAGATCCTGGACGTGACTCGGATCACCCATAACAACGTAAGACTCTACATAAATCAATGTACAAACGAGAATAATATTAAATAATCATCAGAACATCACAATATCTTGCGTGTGCGCTTTGGGGGGTTAACGTGATATTGACTTGTTGCAAGAGGTGCTGGGGGTCAGACCGCACCGTCGGGGGGCGGCGTGGAAGCGGAACTCGCTGCGGGATGAGCGACGTGCTTGAGCGGGGATCCGCTGCTGCTCATTAACACTGGAGGCGGGGCGTCCGCGGTCATTATCGAGGGGAAGCTTGGCGGCGTCCGGCTGTCCATTGGACCAGGAAACCGTCAGCATTGTGGCTCAAGTCTGCTTCGGGGTAAACACGCTGCAATTTCTGCACTTCTTCGGTTTGCTTTTTTAACATACCCGCTCGGCCAGTCTGTCTGCTGCCGCCATGAAGCATTGTGAATTGGAGAAGCGCCAGAGGACCGGGACAGGCAAAGCCATCGCCGTGTTGACCAGCGGAGGAGATGCACAAGGTACTGGCCAAACTTTGCGTTGAACGAGCACCTTAAGCGGGCTGCAGCGTTTCGCGGGGGTCGGTGGCTAATAAAGTATGTGAGAAGAGCGATAGCGTCAGGATCTTTGAGTCCCAGATTCACGGAATTTTCTGACACATGCACGGTTTCTTTAGCAAAAAAGAAAAATTAAACCAAAAGTCCAACCCAACAAATATGTCCAGATATGTCCAAGGTACAGCAACCGTTAACTTTGTATTCTTCAGAGAGAACGTGTGCAGCCGGCTCATTGTAGTGGCGTCTTGGGCGCAGCTCTTGCTTGGGGGGGTAGATGATTGTATCAGAGTAATTGTAGTAAAACCGCGGACGTTATAACAAGTGCGTTTGATTTCGAAAAATGTTGTAATAAGGTTTTACTATACATGGGCTTTGATATTTAAAAAAATATTAATTGGCTTCTTGGTTCTAAAAAATACATGAAATTCATTCATATTTAAAAGCTAGAATTTATCCTAGGATCTCTCATCAAAAGTAGTGACCTTGAGCTTTGATATAAAAATTTGAGATGAAATATATTTTTCCGGTATATCATAATGCGCAGTTCTCTGCACTAAGTAATTATACGCCCTGGTTATAACAGGCTGTCAGAAAACTGAGAGCCAATAAGCAATAAAAAGCGTTAACAAGATAGCGTGTTAAATGGCGTAATATTATAACGATAACAACAGGGTCGCCAACTTTGGTCAGCTGGCTGGAGTGAGATTTTCATTTCGAGACAAGTCTGCACACTCGTGCACACGTGTTTACATGTATGTAACAGTTTTATTGCCTGAGTTTGCAAAGTGATGTAGCGAATTTTAGGTTCATAAATGAATATTATAATTTGCCATAGAATTCTTGCCTAAGCGTGTGTGTCACATCAAATGCAGGCAGCCCTGTATAAAGGGAGTGATTTTAAATAAAACCAGGGTCCAGCACATAAACATCAAATGCTAAGTATCTTGAAGAACAGACATTTACTTTAGGGCTCCATTATTACTTGGATTACATCATGCTGGGCAGCTGGTCTTCTTTGTAGGAGTTGGGTGAGAACCAGTGTGCAGTCAGGGATTCGGAGCAGTTCTATTATATTTTTGTTCTGCCATCATAGGCATGAATGCAGCAGTTCGAGCAGTGACTCGGATGGGCATATATGTTGGAGCCAAGGTGTACCTTATCTATGAGGTATGTTTATTTTCCTGAACTCTGAAAGTGCTCTACTTGCCTATTACCTTGTAATATTGAAAAATGAAAATGGTTGCGCAGTGCTCCAGAAAATACTTGAATTTGTATAACACCCTTATGCCGTGAAGGCAAGTCTGTGTCATTTATAACTTTCCACATGTCCAATACCAATGCTGATTGAAATCGACTTTTCCTTCCCCAGGGCTATCAGGGACTGGTTGACGGGGGTGACCACATCAAACTATCCAACTGGCAAAGTGTGTCTGACATCATCCAACAGGTGAGGTTATCTGAAGCCTCCCCCACCCCTCCTTGCTTCAGGGGCAAACACAGCGACAATCATGCCAGTTGATAATATTTAGGCTTTGATAAGGATGTGCTAAGGGGACACAGGCTGTTGGTGTCCATGGTGATATGTCGGCTTTGCCTATGACCGTCCTTCCACACTCAGCACAAATCCCTCTTCATCCGTTTTATATGCGAGGATTAAGCCATCGCATCTGGGCCCCGAAAGGGCACCGTAAGGAATGATTGGTGTTCGATAATTCAGCGTTTAGAGTTGGAAATCACCTTTTTTTGTGGGGTGGGGGTGGAGGTGGGGGGGGTAGCAATGTAGAACAAAATTGTTTCCTTCAGTGATGCAGGGAATTAATTTAAATGTGAGGAATTTCTTGCATGAAGCTTCTTGATACTTCCTGGTTTGGTGCAATCTTCCTACCCTGCCAACCAGTAACTATGGAGATGGGGGGGGGGGTCCAGTTCATAGAGGCCGCCCAACCATCCACCACCACAGCCTTTGGAATCATTGTGTATGTCTGGTGACCTTGCTCTGACTGCATGCGCCCCCCTCAGGGAGGCACGGTGATTGGCAGCGCCCGCTGCAAGGACTTCACCAAGCGGGAGGGGCGCCAGAAAGCCGCCTACAACCTGGTGCAGCGTGGCATCACCAACCTGTGCGTGTGCGGAGGTGACGGTAGCCTGACCGGGGCCGATGTCTTCCGCAGGGAGTGGCCAGAGCTGCTGGCGGACCTTGTTCGTGAGGGTAAGGGCCTCTTCCACTTCAGCGTTTCAGCCATGTTCGCTGACGATGGTTCAGGGACCGGCTGTTGTACCTTGCGTTTCCTTGGTGTGTGTCAGAGAGGATCACAGAGGAGCTGGCCCAGCAGCACGCCCACCTGAACATCGTGGGCCTGGTGGGCTCCATCGACAACGACTTCTGCGGCACGGACATGACCATCGGCGCCGATTCAGCCCTGCACCGCATCATGGAGGTCATTGATGCCATCAGCACCACAGCACAGAGGTCCGGATACTCCAGGATCAGGGTTGCCTTTCCCTCGTTTATAGGGTTTACTTAATCAATAGATAATGAACAAAGATAAATGACAAACTGACAGTAAACAATTTTCTCCAAGATGGGCTTTGTTAAAAACGCTTGTATAAATAGCTCTTTTTCCTTTTTTAAAAATTTACTTGTTAGTGCATTAGTATGCCTGAGCAAGGTGAGTGAGTCAGGGTTTCGTACAGAGTCCCTTGGTGACGGTGAAAGAGGAGTCCTGTGTGGAGGCTTCTGGGCAGTTTTCCCATCGTTCCCAGAGGAGAACCCATCCTTAATACCATCCATCACCACAGGGACTCCTGCTTAGTGTCGTTTGGCTGCAATCGTCAGCAAAGCGTTGCCAGAAAATTTCGCCGTCATGTAGAAACCTGTTTTTCTTCCCTGCTTTCCATAGACTGCTATTTTATAGACTAAAAAGCAACGTTCGCCTCAGGAGGCGTCGCTGAATGGCCTTGGTGACTTGCACTAGGCCGAGGCCGTTGGCTGTCAGGCGGCCCACATTGAAATGCTCGCGTTGTTTGTGCTCCGCAGCCATCAGCGGACGTTTGTTCTGGAGGTCATGGGCCGGCATTGTGGGTGAGTGCGCGCTGGCTTGCTCTCTCCCTCCCTCTCTCTCCCTCCCTCCCTCCCTCCCTCTCCTCTCTTATTGGGTGAAAGTGTTTAGAATGCCTGACGCATCTCCTTGGCACTGCGTTGGCTTCTCTCTGATAATTCCACATGTGATACGGGTTTAATGAGTTGGTTTCCACTGTTTACTAAGCTTTTGGTTTTGTTGACCTTTTACTGTCTCCTAATTGCTGACTCTGATCCTCAGTTTTTTACATTTACTGAGGTATATAAACCTGACTGCTAACTGCATCTCTGGCTGCATTTATTGCTTGTCCCCATATTTGAATATCAGCTGATTCAAGCCTATTTATGGATTAACCGGAATGATGGCTTGATTATCCCCCCTCGGCGGTGTTCAGGTACCTGGCCACGGTGTCGGCGCTGGCATCCGGTGCAGACTGGGTCTTCATCCCAGAAGCCCCACCAGAAGATGGCTGGGAGGAGCACTTCTGTGCCCGGCTGGGCGAGGTGAGGCCGGGCCCATCCACTGGCGGGGGCCCAGTGGAGCAGATGGACTCACGTGTGATATGTCCACTTAGAGCCGCAGCAAGGGATCCAGGCTGAACATCGTGATCGTCGCCGAAGGGGCCATCGACAGACACGGCCAGCTCATATCCTCCAGCTACGTGAAAGATGTAAGCTAGTTAAAACTCTGCCTGTGCAGAGGAAGGCATTGGGAGCAGTAGTGTAACTAGTGCCTTACAAGCATGGCCATGCAGGTCTTACACCCACTGTCTAAAGGGATCGCTTGCAATAGAAAAGCTGTCTGTTTGCACTTCTGCATTTATTTATCTTTTTGATGGGGCGGACAGTGATGTAAAGCAAGTCTCACACTGTGAGGGTGAAAACCGCTGGATGAGAAGCCGCACTGTAGTGCAGAGGCTGGCAAGTGGCCACTGTCACGGAGGCTGTGACCTAAACCAGCCCCTGCTGCTCGACTCTGCGCCTGTGGGATTAGCTGTAACACAGGAAACCTGGCCAATGTCTCCTATGTCAAGCTGGTGGTGAAGCGGCTGGGATATGACACGCGGGTGACTGTGCTGGGTCACGTCCAGAGGGGAGGCACACCTTCCGCCTTCGACCGCGTGCTGGTGAGTCAGTCTCGGCCCTCTCTGGAACGGTTTGCGGGATGCCCGCATTCCCTTAGTGATCCAGATTGCTCTGGAGGTTTTCAACCTTAAACCTCAACCTTGACACAGCAGGAAACTCACACAGCAAACTCAGAGGATTGGAATATGTACTGACAATCCCTGATTGGTTCATCCTACTTTCGTTTGGGTAATCTGTGTGGTGATTGACAGCACACAGTAATCTCACCTTCCTGGGTCTCAAAGCCTCATTTCTCCTCATCAGTGCCAGGCACACAGAAGGCCAACACGTTGAACAAAATTTATTTAAATGTAAGAAATTTCTTGTATGAAGCTTGGTGATATTTCTTGATTTAGTGCAATCTCTCCCCCCCCCCCTTTCCACCCTCACAGAGCAGTAAAATGGGCATGGAGGCTGTGGTGGCCCTTCTGGAAGCCACCCCAGATACCGAGGCCTGCGTCATCGGCCTCTCGGGCAACCAGGCCATGAGGCTGCCCCTCATGGAGTGTGTGCAGATGGTATGACCCAAATGGCATGACCAATGTGATGCATGCGGTAAAGGAGGCAGGGAGTCACCTGACCTGCATGGGTTTCCCTATCTGTAGACCAAGGAGGTGCAGAAGGCCATGAATGAGAAGAGGTTTGAGGAAGCCATTCAGCTGCGTGGGAAGTGAGTGATGTAATGGTCGCTATCTACCATCCAACTGTCGATTGACGATGATACACCACAGATTGCGCAACAATGAAATGTGTCCTCTGACAAAACCTATATGTAACCCATATGTGACATCGTGACACGGCAGTGAGCAGCTATTATTTACTGCCTGGGGAGCAGTGCATGTGGGCGCTACTTTGCTCAGGGTACTTTAATCATACCTTGCTAGTAGGGATTTGAACCAGCAACCTTTTGATTACAAGCATGCTTCCCTAACCATTAGTCCACTGCTGCCCGGCATCTGCAGTGTTGTGGTGTTTACATGTGTTTTCAGTGGGTTCTGTTATTGTCTCAGGAGCTTTGAGAACAACTGGAACACTTACAAGCTGCTGGCCCACCAGAAGCCTTCCCAGTCACAGGTAGGTAGCACTGTCCGTGTGCGCCCGCTCTCCATACATGGGCCAGGTGTGGCTTTCATCTGCGTGTACTCGACTTTGTGGATGTTGACCCCCCCCCCCCCAGAATAACTTCTCCTTGGCGATCCTAAACGTGGGAGCCCCGGCAGCAGGGATGAACGCGGCGGTGAGGTCGGCAGTGAGGATGGGACTTGCCAAGGGCCACAAGGTCTACACTATCAATGATGGCTTTGGAGGCCTGGCCACAGGGCTGGTGAGGTTTCCCTCGGGGAGTGGGGGGGGCGGGGTTGTGTACAGAATGGGGCTGTTCCTTATGGAATGGGGTGGGGGGTACGGGGTGGGAGGTGAACTACACACCATATTCATTTTAATGTTGTCCAAGGGTAAAGGTGATGGGAAATTTGATACATTTATTTTATTAAAGTATTATTGCAAATACTAGGGTAATACATTTGTGTGTAGTTCTAGTACTTTACATATAATGTCAGCTGGTGGGTCTTATTTGTTGGAGATTTAATGATTTTTTTTTTTTTTTATATATATATATTTTTTTGATTGAACTAAGTTCCTGACACACATACATTGTTAACGCAAGACCATGGTGTCCATTCGGAAAGCATTTTTATTTATCTGCTGTCTTTTCAAAGATCAACCCGGTGAGCTGGCATGATGTAGCAGGCTGGACCGGACAAGGAGGCTCACTTCTAGGGACTAAACGGTACGACGGCCTTAAGGGGGAGGGGCGGCTGGTTAGCTTGGTCAGCAAGTTTGCAGCCAGCAGCTACAGCTAATCGGCCTCTGTTGACTGGCAAGGTGACAGTTCGGCCAGTCAGTGCCATCCCTGATGTAAGCGAGCAGAGGATTTTGATATGAGGTAACGCTGCTGCTTTGGGTCTGGCCTGTCTCCTAGAACCCTTCCTAATTCCTGCATGGAGGAGATAGTGAACAACATCCGCAAGTACAACATCCAGTCGCTGCTGGTCATTGGAGGGTTTGAGGTGAGAGGCTGACCCTGGGCTGGGGCAATATGCCTGCAGGAATGGACATGCCGTCCTCTTCTGTTACGCTCGTGAAGTCAGAGTTGTAGTATTTGATGCCCTTAGCAGGTGAGTAGTCTAAAACCACCTTGATCTCCCCCCACCCAGGCATATGAGGGGGTGCTGCAGCTGGTGGAAGCCAGGGGTCGCTATGACGAGCTCTGTATCGTCATGTGTGTCATCCCCGCCACCATCAGCAACAACGTGCCGGGCACGGACTTCAGCCTGGGGTCCGACACCGCTGTCAATGCTGCCATGGAGGTGAGGGTGTGGCCCGTGCTGGAGCACACTCAATGCTTTACGTGGGTCTGCTAGCCTGTGCCCGCACCTCAGTGAGCCTCAGCAGGCAGCTGGTGTCACTGGATTACCCGTGTCAGGATGACGTGTTTTCCTTGTTGCATTGATTTGCATTTTTCCCCACAACCACTAATGAGTATAGATGAGTATAAATATTTGGCCGGACACAGGCTTTTCTGTATATGGACATTTACTTGCGGTCACTATTTGGTAATTAGTTTGGAAGTGCACCTAAAATATTAATGAGAGGCTAATGGTGACACCCAAAAGTCAGTGATATGGGCATATCCTTATGTTAAATTTGGTTAGCAGAGCGCGCCGCATACCACTGTTTTGGTACATCATGGAAGTGATAAACACTGAAGTGGTGGTGAAGACAGGGACAGCTCAGCAGCCGCAACATCTTTTGAAAGAGGAGATATTGTAGATAGAGGTAACAAAAGATGTCGGGTGTGGCTGTACTTTTTGCAGTTTAAAGTCAAACACATTCATTAAACATAACGATACGCCGAATTTATACAGATATATATAAAATTTGTTCTCAAAATTTTAGGCGCATTACTAATCTACTTGCCAAATTGTGGCTGCAAGCAAACATCTATATGGTATTGAAAAGCCGACGTTTGGACAAATGTTTCTGCTTATTATCCGAAGCCCTGATGATTATTGTGCAGGCAGCATATAATCGTGATTTGATATCATTTAGCCCTACACTAACCCTTCTGGAATATTCCACAGAGCTGTGACAAAATCAAGCAATCGGCTTCGGGCACGAAGAGGCGGGTGTTCGTGGTGGAGACCATGGGCGGATTCTGTGGCTACCTGGCCACTGTCACTGGAATCGCCGTGGGAGCAGACGCTGCATATATCTTTGAGGAGCCCTTCAACATCCACGACCTGGAGGTGAACCTGGGCGTTCCCGAGAGTCATGTGACTGAAGTGGTACCAGTGCCGTGCACGCCCAAGCTGCAGGCGTTTCTGGTAACCAAATTCTTGCTCTGACAGGCTAATGTGGAGCACCTCAGGGAGAAAATGAAGACTGACATTCAGCGTGGTCTGGTGCTCAGGTGAGCTGCCGACCAATTTGGTTCATCTGAAAGAAGAGGTGGGGTGCATGCGTGTGCCCCATTTAGTGGGTTTCTGCTCTCTGCAGGTAGCTGCATGTTCTTAGGAGCTGCCAAAATCTCCCGGTCTGGCCGTTAAGCTTGGCAGACCAGTGATACTGAACTACATACAGATGTCATTGAATCTCTGAGCACAGAGCTGCCTTACAGCTGGGCACGCTTAAACCTTAATACCCAGCAGTGCCTGACAACTCACTAGACCAGGGGTGGGCAATCTTATCCGCAAAGGGCCGGTGTGTGTGCGGGTTTTCGCTGCAACTCCCTAATTAGATTACTAATAAGAGGACTGATTGGCTGAAGAGTCCTCACACCTGGGTTTGAACAGCTGACCTACAGGTGATCCCAAAAACCTGCCTACACACCGGCCCTTTGCAGATAAGATTGCCCACCCCTGCACTTGACACACAAGAGCTGTCTAATGCCATAGTACTATATCACCACATTTTGTAGAAGGTTTTGTCTATCTGGTCTCTGTAGTGAAGTGATTCTTGCTTTTCCCATCTGCCACCAGGAATGAGAAGTCCAATCCACAATACACCACTGAATTCTTACACAATCTGTACTCTGCTGAGGGAAAAGGCATCTTTGACTGCAGGGTGAATGTGCTCGGACATCTTCAGCAGGTATAGGGGGTGTCAGTGAGTGGCCTGTTTGTGGTGCTGTGTATTTTATGTGAGGCACCTGTCAGATGAAGAAATACTCCCAAGTTTGGACAGGTTGTTGCATATACCCTAGTGTTAACATGGGATTACTGGTGCGATTTGTAGAAGCTTCCAGGCATTGTTAATAAGTAGAACATGACTTCACTACCACTGTACTTGTGACCTTTGCCTTCAAGGGAGGGGCCCCCACACCATTTGACAGAAACTATGGCACCAAGCTAGGCGTGAAGGCCGTGCTGTGGATAACTGAGATGATGGAGAAGAAATACAGGCAGGGTAGGTGGAAACAGGCAATTTTCCATAACTTTGAGAGCCTTCAGTAATGACAAGGCTAAAGGGCACTGTCTCTCTCCAGGACGCGTGTTTGCCAACTCACTGGACACAGCCTGCGTGATCGGGATGACCAAGAAAGTCCTATCCTTCAGCCCAGTGACGGATCTCAAGGAACACACAGACTTTGAGTGAGGACTAGTCTAAAACATCAATCTCATGACCACGCTCCCTAAAGCATAGTTCATAACTTCACTTCTCCACATATCGTTAATGGTCCACAGATGATCGTGAGTGCAGACTCTTCTGTACATACATTTATCTGTGTGTGTAGATGGTTGCTGTTGGTGCATGTGTACTGCAGAGAGATTCCACCAGACCGGTAGAGGGCAGATATCATTATCTTGGTCTGAATGAATTCTCTTTTTTGACCAGTTTATGGGTGATTTTTATTTTCCCCATTCTATGAATTTGTGTACTGGGATACATCTTTGTGCTCCTTCAGTGTTAAGTAATATATAGGCAGGTACCACTGCAGTTCCTCACACAACTGCTCATCAAAACCGTCCACAACTACTCCTCTTCTGCTCTTTCTTGGTTGATCTGTTCTCTGTGAAAGTCAGTGCTGCCACCTACTGGAAATGCTCAATGATCTTGCACATGTGCAGTCAGCTCTCACTGACGCCCAAAAAGTCTACTAGACCCAAATCTGGGCAGCACACATACAGTCCACAGGGATACCCCTGATGATGACATTTACGTCACTTGTCCTTGTGTACGGACCGTGACGGCACACACAAGTAAGGTATGAATTGGGCTTAATGCCATAATGTAATATGACGGAAATGTATTTATTATAGTGGTTGAGTCTGCCCTGTGCATGCGGGTGGGGGTTACATGGTCCCCCTATAATGCACGGGTTTTGTCCTACAGTTTAAAGTGCAGTTAGGCAAACTGGTGTCTTCAGTCACTTAGATGTTTGTGTAGTGGTCTGTGCACTATGGTGGACTGGCATCTTCTCCAGGATGTTTTCCCAGCCAATGCACTATACTGCCTGGGATTAATTCCAGGCCCCCTCCCACAATCCTGTACTGCAGTAGTTTTTGGACTATGAATGAACGACAGATTTTATTTTTAAGGGCTCGTTCAGTTTTATAGTATCATACATGAAAGCACCTTTTCACATACAACAGTCAGCATGTCTGATTCCTTAACTGCTGCATCCCTACCTGCCCCCACAGGCACAGGATGCCCAAGGAGCAGTGGTGGCTGAACCTGCGTCTGATGCTGAAGATGCTGGCCAAGTATCAAACCAGTTTCAAAGAGTATGTCATCGGGGAGGTTGAGCACGTGACCCGCCGCTCTCTCAGCATAGAGACGGGGTTCTGAGGATTGGGCCTCAGCTGTGGGCAGCCGCCTAGTGCCCTAGCAGAACCACTGGTTCTCCAAATCACTCCCTGTCAAACCAGTACAATAATACCCCTCTACCCCTGTTGATTGTGCCTAAACATGATAAACTTCACATAGGCTTAGCCCCAAAGCATTCCTATCCTGATTTCCCTGTCTTTAAATAATCAATTTGCACAGAAATAAGGGGTTTCCTTCATATCATGTACAAAGTGTAGTATTTTGTATCTAAAACACTAACAAAATACCTCTAGAAAACCTCTCACACAGGAATATTTACTTAAAAGGGTAAAGCTTGACATACTGTTAGTCTCTCGCTTTACGGTATTTTTCTGAGCCAGTTTGGACTAATGAAATGTGAATTGCTTCACGTTGTCGTGTGATGCTGTATTTTGTCTAATTGTCTAACTGAAATTCATATAGTGAATGTTTATTTTTAAGGTTTTAAGGGACAAAAATCTCAAGTAGGATATAGTCCTCATAAAATATTGGAAATATTATGAAATGGTGTCAGACCAAAAAGAAACAGAATCTAATATTTGCAGTTGAAATAACTTGTACTCGTCTTTATTAATGTATTACAGTGAAGAAAAAATTAAAGGTAGGTTACATCTTTAGTAACTATCTTAATTTTCTTTATAATCCATGGAACATGTTGCTTTTTCATTTGCGCTTCTCTTACGTGGTACTCATGAAAGGGGTCCAGTGTTATCCTGATGAGAGTGTCATCAAAACATAGAAATGCATTCTTAGTTAATGCCCTGTGTTAGGTTGCAATAAATAAACGACTCAAAACTGATCCGTGGAGTACTTCTCACTGGCCTGTAGTAGTGTTTAATCTGCATGTAATGTGTATAATTATGTGCTATGGTGTGCGTTATCAAGACTAGCGCTTTTATTACCGATGTCGGTTTTTAAATGTTGTAATAGTTTAAACTGATGAAATGCTTTACCGTGTCATATTGAGAAATCCTAATAAATGCAAACTGGGTGAAAGGGAAATTTCTGAAATGAAACGCTAAGAGGTTGTCCTCCACCATCCCACAATGCCTCTGTAAAGTCAGTCCAAAGTCCAAACTGCGCATACCGCCACCTGCTGGTCGAATAAGCGCTCTTTAAGTCATCTACTGATCTTACCAAAATAATTATACGGTTATTTGTATATAATTTTATCTTAACTGTACACATTTTTGTATGAACATGAAAATGTCAATGGGTTGGTGAGCATTACCACTGTATCGCAAGATTGGATTTGGATCTGAATTTTTCCGGCAGAATAACCAATCTCACACTATATATAGATTTTCCTTGATATCTTTTCAGTTTATAATTTAAAACCACAAGGGCATGACTTTGGTTTGATCATAGGGGGGCGGGGTTGAGGTCCCCACCCATTCATCATGACAATATGATTATATGAGGAGTGATACTTCTGGTTCTTGAGTGGTTAAAACACCCCCCCATACTTTCAGTCAGTCATGACAAGTGGACAGAACAGTATTTAAAAAGCAGAGAAGTCAAGCCATTCCAATATCAAAAACTTTCGCCACAACAAAAGTATACAAAAAAGGATTTAGTGCCCGGCTGATGTATAGCTCAACGGACTACGGATCTGTCTGATCCGCCGATCTCCGTTCCACAGAGGCGTCCCTTTAACCCCCCTTTCCACATTCGCTCGGTAGCTGCTTGAGTCACGTGACGCGCCGCCTTCTATCCGGCGGTATCAACATGGCAGCGTGCGGTGTGTTTAAACCAGGACTGTTCAGTAACAAAGTTGCGATAGTCACAGGAGGCGGGACGGGCATCGGCAAGGCGATCACTTCGGAGTTATTGCATTTAGGTAAGCATGTATGCACTGGGGGGGAAAAGTGCTGCTCATTTGTTTTTAGTTGTCTGCATTTACATTACTGAACTGAAGTCTTAGCTGTTTTGTGTGACAAGGGTCGGTGACAGAGAACGCGACCTTTAATCCAGAAACGCCTTCCTTCACATGTCTTAATAAACTCCAGCAGCACAAAACAGTAGTCAAAACTAGACCCTTTCGGTTGCTTGTATTACGAAAAGGGTCCCGATCTCTTCTGCTAATTGCGGAAGAAGTAATACAAAACCCTAACCGTCGTCTCTAAATTGTCCATGACGTGTGATTAAATGTGCACGAATGCGTGCGCTTGTGCTCCGTGGTGGATTGCCATTCCATCGGTCTTGTTCCCCTACCCTGTGCCATGTGTTTCCTGGGATAGGTTGCGACCCAGAACCTACTAAATAAGCTGATGTGAGATAGATACATAAAACATTCATATGATACTTGTTTACTTACCAGTTTGAAGCATATAGGTTTCATTCGTAATTATTCGACAGCTTTTTCAAATGTCACTCAGGTTCATCTAGGTTGCCGGTCTTTATTTCCAGGATGCAGAGTGGTTATTTCTTCTAGGAAGCTGGAGCGTTTGCAGATGGCTGCCGAAGAGCTGACAGGGAGAATCCCACCAGACAATCCAGCGAAAGTGACAGCTATGCAGTGTAATATCCGTAACGAAGATGAGGTGAATATTGTCTGTGCCCATTCGCTGGGGGGTGGGGGGTTATTCTGTTCACATATTCAGTGGTGAGGGATCTCCCTGACGTGTGCTGCCTCTTTCAGGTGAAGAATTTAATTGTATCCACTTTGAAACTTCATGGCAAAATTGACTTCTTGGTCAACAACGGAGGGGGGCAATTCTCTAGTCCAGTAGAATACATGAATGCAAAGGGCTGGAAGGCCGTCATCGACACCAACCTGACGGGAACTTTCTACTGCTGTCAGGAAGGTCAGCACGTGAATTTTTGGCATTTCTACTTTTTGTGGACAGTTGCCAACATCTAGTTGTGGGTTTTCCTATCGCTATTTTTCGAATTCCAGACTAGTCTTCCTTTTCATTAAATGATTTCTTTACACTATTTACAGATACAATATTTAGTTTATCGAGTACGGTAAAAGGATAGATAAAACTCAGATTACGTCCCTTTTTAGTTGAAGTTAAGCGGCTTTCACGATATTCCCCGATACAGGCCCGGTTGGGCAATCGCGAGACACTTCTCTTCCCGACTAAACTAAATCTCGCGCCCCTACACGAGGCCAGAAAAAGCCCGGCAATTTTGTAGTTTTCTTAAAGAGACATTACCCGCATTGTTTCCAAATGCAGAATATTAAATGCAGGTAAACTAAGTAAGGCAAACATGGAATTAATGCAATATATACACGAACTAAATTAAACATTTTTTAAAATTCAAAATGTTTATAAAATTAAACCATTGGCTAAATATGCCATCTACACTATTTACGGTTTCTATGATGACATTGGATTGGAAAATAACTGCTTGATCTGAAACTATTTCATGCTGAGCAAGCTGTTATACATATAGTTCAGAAGAAATATGTCTTGAAGAAGAATGATGCTTGCGGAGCTGTATTGGATCTCCATATTCCCTTATTTCTACAGTATATAAGGCCTGGATGAAAGAGCATGGTGGAGCAATTGTCAACATCATTGCTGACATGTGGAAGGGTTTCCCTGGGATGGCGTAAGTTTCTAATGGAAAACAGTACTGACCAGATCCAAAAGTTTGACTTTGCCTTTGATATTGACCTCTGCCGTACCTATGACTTGGGACTCTAGACACACAGGAGCAGCGAGAGCAGCTGTGGACAATTTGACCAAGAGCCTGGCCATCGAGTGGGCAGCCAGTGGCGTGAGGGTGAACTCTATAGCACCGGTGAGTGGGTGTGGTTTGTGCCGCGTCTCGGCGTGGTGAAGATTCCGTGTGGCACTGCTGGGAGAAACAAGAGGCAGGTTTCCCCAACGGACACAAAGGGTTCCTCAGTGTCGACTTTTCATTACGTTGCCGGAAGATGGCAGCCCAAAGAAAAAGGTAAAGTTATTTAGCTCAAATCTGTGTTTCTCTTAGGGAACAATCATTTCTAAAACCGCAATGGCTAACTACAAAGAAGCTGGTCCGACTTTGTTTAAGATGTCTGTAGCCTTCAGTCCAGCCAAGAGAGTAGGAGTTCCGGAAGAGGTGAGTTCCAAGTTGTACCATCCCGTTATTGTTGTGTGTGTGGAACTATATTTGTTTTGTACGATACATTTAATATCCACTACATTTGCTTAAGGCACATGATGGTGAAAGTCTTGTAACTACTTTATGGCAGTTAACGCGAGTTGTTTGTCAACTGGATAGTATTGTAGTAGCACTGGCTCAGCACTGCATCTCAGCACTGCATTTATGACCCCTCCATCCTCGTGTTCTCCTCAATAGGTCTCCCCAGCTGTGTGCTTCCTGCTTTCACCGGCGGCTTCCTACATCACCGGGGCAACACTGAGGGTGGATGCTGGACAGAGCCTCTACCACTCCATGTGGAATATTCCCGGTAAGCAGAGCCCAGGCCCAGGTCAGGGGCAGTGATTTGTACTACTGGAACGTTCTGCAGTACATACAAAGCTAACATTTCCCTAAACCCCCTCAGGATGTTAATGATGCACAAACGATTAATATGTAATTTAGAAAGACAGCAATGTGATGGATGGGTATAATAATGATTCGTACAGTTAGAGAATTATCAAAGCCATTGTGGTGATCACCTATCAGAAAATATAAAGAATGGGATCAACCAGCATTTGAAGGCATTGTTAAATATGACTGCATCTCTGTATGAGTCCAGCTTCTGTACCCACTCACTACTCACTAAGGCTGGCACGGGATCTCAGGCTCCCAGGGGCTGAAAGGTTTGTTTTGTGCTTCAGATCACAATGCCTGGCCTGATGCACCGGAGGGGGAAAACACTGAAACTCTGAGGGAGATTATGAGCGAGAAATCCAAGCTGTGAGCTCTGGAGCTGAAGTCCCTCACCTCAGAAAGGACAGACCTGCAGCCATAAAACTCATCACAGTAATCTTGAACTGATTTACCATAAATTCATCTGTGTCCCATGACCGCTTATACAGTACAGGGTCATAGTGGCGTTACTATGGGTCTGGAGATACTCACCCACAACAGGTAGTTTACGGAAGACGATCCCAGTGTCTTTGGGTTGTGGAAGGAAGCTGGAAATACCAAGAGAAATTTTGGGAAGATCATACTCCACACGCCACAATCGAACTCACAACCTCAGAGGCATGAGTCTACTGTGCTAACCAATAAGTTGCCTTTCCACTATTAATGCATTCTTTAATTTTGTTTGTTTTCAACATAAATAAAGAGAATTACCTGAAAACATACTTTATGTGTGTTGTGTGCTGTGCATTGTTTTTGCATGGTAAGTTCATTCCGCAAAAGGAGGGTTGTAAATCGTTCTGAGGATCTTTTTCAATCAAATGTATCCTGCCTTGAATTTTAGCATGTTGACATTATCTGTGCACATGGTGTTGGGTGTAATTTTTCATGACATACCAAGTACTGGAGGGGACGGTGTATGAACAGGATTTATAAATATCTGCTCCCTAAATACGTGCTTTTGTGCTTATCTCTGGGCAGACAGATCCCCCAGCCTCGATGTGGATCGCATAGCCCTGTAACAGAAGGCCATTATCCTCATCCGATTGGGTAGCAGAGGCTGGAGACCGGAGGGCGGGGTGATCCGTACCTAAGGATCCGGCTGAGGAGCGCTGTAGTACGGCGAGCCGGAGCTGCACGTCTGAGCGCTTCCTGGAAAGGAGGCGTCTGACGCTTCTCGTTAACGGAGTCTTAAGTGAAATAAAAATGCACTATAAAGTAACCAAATGGGTTCACCATGTCTGCTGTTTGCCCGGTGTTTTCAAGGTAAGAGTGCTCCATGCAGTCATTGTGCATTAATTTCCATTCGCGTAGACAAAAGGACGCGAATTGGGTGTGATTTAAAGGGGCGCAGTCAGCTGGTTCAGAATCGGCTCCCCTTGTTTCATCAAACGTCAGTCCATTAGTGACACTGCAAGGGCTGCTTCATTCTTCATGTGAGGTTTTATTTTGTGTAGATATATTGTAGTTATAAACACTTTCGTCCTAAAATTCTCAGCTTTGGGACATGATCCAATACTGCACACTACGATTTTTTCCGTTTTTTAATGTTGATGGCAGAAATGTGTTTTGTGTAATATTTGACGTGAAGGGGCTTTTCACCATGCCACGGCATGTTCTCGTATGTGCCTGCAGAGGATACGGTAATAGAAAATAAAAACTAAACGCTTTCCCCCGGCTCTTTATTTTTTGATGAAGAATACACTGTGGGACCGTTGTGCTTCTTAGAGAAGATGGATGTTTCGCACAAGACGACAGTTAATCCCGAATGTGCATTTTGGTGGTGTAAATGTTTTTGGTGGGGCTGTTCCTTGTGTCTTTATGTGCTGATTGGGGTGACAATCAAAACGGGGAGCCGCGACTGACAAGCCGGAGGCATGAGCGACGCCGCCCTGATTCTTGCAGTTCCACGTCCTTGCCTTTCCTAACACTGAGCAACCCTTTAACTTAGACTTTAAAGCATTGTACATCAGTTTATTATCATCATCATCTTTTTTTCTGGTGAGCCTTTTACCCATTTAAACCTCTGTGGGTTATTGGTGTAAGTGTGTGTGTGTGTGTGTGTGTGTGTGTGTGTGTGTGTGTGTTCATAAACCTTTTTCCACAATCGGATATTATAACAAAAGCAGTTTGGATATCAGTGGCCTAATGTATTTGGGTTCCTGTTCATTGTTCATGTTGCAAGATACGGGCGGAGTTTTATGCTCGGATGTCGTGCATCTGGTTTTTCACCAGGGTGCCAACCTGTGACCTAGAGTTCTTTGGTTCGAATCCCAGGAAGGACATCATAGTGTAATATTGAATACAGTACTAAACCACTATAGTAAAACACATTCTGCTGCACCATAAACCCGAAGCTAACTATATTATCAGCCAAAAAACACTAATAATATTTTTTACCCCCCCCTCCCCCACCTTGTTCAAGCAGAATGAAGACTGGCAGTGAGTTCCCCACCCAAAGCCAGCACTAGTTAGTAGCCCTGAACCAGCAGAGCCGAAGGTGATCTGATGTGAAATGGCTGAGCCTAACCTCAGCATAGAGCAGGTGGAGCCTGCAGATCCAGATAGCCCACAGACAGACTCGCAGTCGAGGTCCGAGGCCGCGGCCTGCCCAGCGGACGAGGACACGGGGACTGCCACGCGGAGGAAGAGGAGGAAGAAGGAGCCCCGGCCTGAGTCCATAATCGTATACCGCTCCGAGGTGGAGAGGGTCCCCACAGAGGAGCAGGGTGGGGAGGAAGGGGCAGAGAAAAGCTCAGAGGAGGGTGCTAAATTCCTCACCACATCCAGCGAGGAAGGTGAGCTGTCTGCGGCGGTGCCTGATTTTTCTGGTCCCTGCACTTGGTACGGCCCAAACTCCCATTAACAATTAGTTCGCCTTGCAGTGACTCCGTCTCCAGTGAAAACCTAATTAAAGCAGCTGCAAGACTCATTACAGGGAACTTCTTGCTTTTTGAAGAAGCTGACAGAAATGGTCCTTGTTCCCCTAACCACTGCTATAGTGTTCAGTCCTACAGGTTTTTTTTTTTTTTTTGATGAAAACCTCCTGTAAATGGCCGGGCCTGCAGTAAAACCTCCAGCTATAAACGGGAGGTGTTACTTAAGATATAGAGATAGATGCCTGTGCTCACAGACAGGCTGCCTGCATTGTTTAAGCTGTTATCCATCCAGCCATTCATACATTCTCCTTAAATGGTCATCCAGTGCAGGATCGCAGTGAGCCTGGAGCCTGCCCAGGAAGGACAGGGGACACCCTGGAAGGGGTAGCAGTCTGTCACAGGAAATACACTCACAGTCACCATAATCCATAATCCGTAAAGGCACATAGGTCAGCAGTGGGAGGAAGACATTCATCTTCCAGTACAAAGCCATTGTGCCACCTAGTATCATTACTATCATAATGATTATTATGATCATTAAGTAGTAGTAATACTCACCCATTACTGTACCAAGAGTAACTTAGTTTTGTTTTAGGTCTTGATTTTATGGTATGAAATTGAAACATTAGCATAATGACTTTGGTTTCTTTGCCGTTATATTATCTGATAGCTGCAGTATATTTGTGCATCTATGTGCGTAGGTGGATGTTTTACATACCGCTTACGTATATGAAGAAGCCTCCTGTCTCCCTTTTCCCAAGGTGGCTGGAGTGTGCCCCCTGACAGCCGCTACGTCACCCTGACCGGCACCATCACGCGAGGGAAGAAGAAAGGTCAGATGGTCGACATCCACGTGACGCTGACGGAGAAGGAGCTTCGCGAGCTGGCCAAGTCCAAAGAGCGTCTGGATGCTGAATGTGAGGGAACTGGCGAGGCCAAGCCCTCCTGCAGCCTGGGCCTTGGGCACGGGCCCCACGTGTTGCTGTGGAGTCTGTCCTGCGCCCCTGTGGTCTTTCTCCTCTCCTTCGTCACCTCTTTCTACTACGGCACGCTCACCTGGTACAACGTCTTCCTGGTATACAACGAGGAGCGGACTTTCTGCCACAAGATCACCGTGTGCCCGTTCCTCATCATCTTCTACCCCGTGCTGATCATGGCCGTCTCGGTGTCGCTGGGGCTCTACTCCGCCGTGGTGCAGGTGTCCTGGGCCTTCGGCCGCTGGTGGCTGGCCGTGCGTGACCTGGAGAAGGGCTTCTGCGGCTGGGCGTGTGGGAAACTGGGTCTGGAGGACTGCTCCCCATACAGTGTTGTGGAGCTTCTGGACTCCGACACTCTGTCTGGAAGCGTTCAGGGTAAACCAACCGGAGAGAACCTGCAGACGACCTCCGTGTGACTACGTGAACCAGCCTGGGCACCCTGGGTGGAATTTTTTTAATTTTTTTTCGTGTCCCAAGAGAGTTTCTTTCTGCACTGTTCTCTGTGTCACCCCTGGTGGTCCATCCAGTCTGGGGAAAAAATAACTTTCCGTTACTCAGAACCTGAACTGCTATCAGAACTCTACGGGGGAGCAGATCTTAAATATCTCCTCAAACTGCCTTCTCCATCTTTTGGTGTGGGTTCATTCATTGTTCTCCTCTGTTCCCGATGGCAGCCATCACTGTTAGAAGGTGAGTCTGCCCTTCAGAATTTGAAAAGGGTATTTTTTTGTAACGTTTCTTTATCTCCTATGGAAATTAAGATAATGATTTAATCCTGATTTTATTAGACCGATTTTAAGACTGATACAATCTGCAGTATTGTGTCACTGGGGACCCCCCCCCACGGCTTTCTGCTGAAAAGGTGCTCGTGGATGCAGTCTCTCCTAGCTGTTAGCCCCCATTGTTTTATTTAAGCTATTTATTTACCTTATTTCACTAGCCGGCTGGTGAAGGAGGGTTTTGGTTCTGGTTCTAGGCAGGGACCCTAGTATAGCTTGGCCAGAACTCCCTCTCTCTCTCCCCCGTCCATGCAAATTGAAACCCGTTTTTGAGGTCGGACAATGTGCACATTCATTGGAAGTGACTGTCAGGCTGAGAGCAGAGGTGCACTTCTTCCGAGAACGGAAGCGGCACTGAATGCGTCACCCTCTCTGTATCTGCATAGATCTTTTTTTGTTTTCATTCATAAAAGCACCTTTTTTTACAGCGGGGATGGACCTTGGCGATTAATCTGCCTAGTGACCCTAAATCTTCTGATACTCGTGTGTGCACATTTTTTTTTGTTGTTTTTTAAATAAATTTACACCAAGTGAGTTAAGACTATAATGTAATGATCAATCTGTTTCTGAAGGTCAGTCATGTTTCATTTACCATTATGCTCTATGCATCATAAATCTGTTTTTATTTGTATCTCTTATTTCACCAATTCGTTCACTTATTTACTGTATTAGGTATGTACAGCCATGTATAGCCTTGTTCCATTTATTTTTCCCTTTTGATTCTGTTGTCATATTAAATGTGATAAATGGTGGCTGTTCACACTGCTGCACTGTGACCCACATCCTGATGGCTAGCTGGTGCAAACCATTACACTCTGACTGCCACATGTTAACCGAAAGCGTACGACACGTAATTGTATGAATGAAACCCATTCTCTTCTGCTTGTGGCTGGGTGGACAACACCTGACACCTGTCATATCCAATTCATTTGTTTTATTTTTAAACAAAACCCACCAGCGAGTCAGATGTGCAGATTTGCTTAACTATTACAGAGGATGGATACATGAAACACCAAGCACAAGGATGTTAAAGGATTTTAACTCATTAAAACAATTTAATGTTTCAGTTAACACTGCATTTGGATTTTATTTTATATTGATTTGGCTGTATTTCATGAAATGTATGCTTGCAGAATCATAGTGATTAGCAGCAATGGACCAGCATGCATTTGTGTTTACCCATAATGCGCAGTGTCCAGCAGCTTTTGTAAGACCTGCCCACTTGATGCATCGACACACATCTTTGCTTTGGGAATCACTATGTTGGTCATTCTTTGCTGGGAACTTCCTGAGTCATAGATTTTTTTATTAGTCATAGCTTTAGGTTTGGTCTGGGTTTGAATTTGTATTAGAGGACTTTAAACTCTTATTATTACCCAGAATGCAACATCTGCAGTTGGTGCTGGATTCTATTTAAGTGTGATGCGATTCTATGTTTGCTGTGTACACACAGTATTTACAACCACATCAGATTCTGGCGCACATCAGCACAATAGCTTTGAAATCTGTTCAAAATTTTGGTTTAATGTAGTTTTGTTTAACATTACCATTAAAAAGAATTAGGTAGGCCTGGCTATTTACACCAAACCTAGTCTTTCTCTCTTCTGGAACATTCTATGGCACACTGGTAGTCTCTCAGCTTCAGGTGGACCCATCCATGTACATGAGATGGCAAGCATTAAGCCGTCTGTGAAGGTGCAGAGTCCCCATATCTGCTTGTATCCTGAGACTGTTTCCTTGGTTTCTGCTGTTTTTGAAATGTTTTCTTTATCTCATATTATCTTTGATCCTGACTGTGGTCGCCTGGTGCTATATTCCTTCGTTGTCAAGATAACATTTAGAAGGTCTAGGAATCGTAATATTTGATGCATTGTCCTTTAATTTAACATTCTCTCCTGAGCCAATCCTGGGGAAATAGAAGTTGTGCGCTGGCTGTTTTTCCACGATTTTCCTAATCTCTTCAGGTATCGCCGTCTTCTGTAGTCAGGACCAAATGCTGCATTCCACAGGGGGGTACACTTACAGTATAACTGACCTGGTGAGCATTGGCTGCCCTTTCATTTGCGCTCCTGAATCTCACTGTATTTACAAAGCGTTTCACTTTGTAGGATTACATTTTGAAGCACGGGTTGAGCTCTCTATATTCATTTATGTTTTTATACATTGAAAAGAGTTACTACACATTATTTTTATGGTCACTGATCCAAAAATGTCACATTTAATAATTCAGAAGCTCATACTGATGTGATGTCCATGATAATAGTACAAGATGCAACCCGCTGGATAATTTGCAGCCAGCCCATGAATCTGATGTGAAGGTAACATAAAATATAGTCAGAGATCTCATTCTGAAGAAACTTGTTTCTCCGATTTGCTAAAGCAGTGGTCTCCAATATTTTTTACTGTGCAAGCCACTTTTAGAAGGAAATCAATCTGGGGAGATACTCGTTTCACCTCGTGTTTTGCTGATTGGGAGGGGTCCCTCTTGGATGATTTTTTTGTATAATTGACTGGGAATGTCTGGGATTGACTGGTTTGGGAACACTGTAGCAAAGTGTCGGTCCATCCATTCACCTTCCAACAGCGTAACCGACTGAAGGTTTGCAGAACCTTCAGCTCATCCTGAGAAACTCAGCCAGCCAGAAGTGATGATTTAAAAGTGGTTTACTCACAAGGAAAATGTTATTCTCTTAGAATGATTTAAACTTTGTTTTAGCTATAAAAACTGTCCATAATGAGTTCAAGATTTCACACAAAAAAAAATCAAGGAATGTGAGGTGTGGTCCCTGTTCGTGACATTCTGGAATGTTCTCTGAGATGCAGAAATTCAGACTGGTGTGAGGAATTTAAACAATATGTTTATTGTTTGTTATTGTTCGTTGTTCTTGCTGCCACTTAGCAGGGACATTGAAATTAAACATGGATTTACAAATGACTGCACACAGATTCATAGATTTGTCTTGGGTGTATTTCATTTGTAAAATTAAAATTCACCTCGAAGGAGCCACAGCATAGTTTTGAAAAAAAAAGTGTGTTGTTATTTATTCGATACCACAAAACACTGTGTTAATATCATTGTTTTTATTGAACATACACCTGAAGCCTGAGGTTAAAAAATTACTTGATCCCTTCAGGGACCAAGAGAATCATTACAACACCTTAAACACATTAAAACTCATGCGTATTGTTTTGTGTTTGTTTGTCCGATGTCCAGACTCCATTACATTTTGCGAAACATAAAAATGTGTTTACAGGAAATATGCCTTTTTTGTGACTAGTACCTCTCAGTGCATTAATACATTTTACACTTTTAAATGTTTAAATCCTGAATCCAGACAGCAGTGATTTCAGGTCTGCTGTACGGTTTCTACATTTTGACTCTCCCGTTTTCACAATTCTGTACGGATATCTTCACTTCTTTTAGCCCCAAACAAATCAGTTGAAAGTTAAAAGGACTGTTTTTATGCTGCATTATGGTTTCCCTACCACTTCTCTGGGATGTGCAAGGTGCAGATAGTACAGATTTTGCAGATTCTACCCAAGCTGATCTGTGACTGACTGAACTGAGCCAAATGCAGTCCTTTCTGCCCAAACACCCCCCCCCCCAAACTGACTTTGCCTGCAATATCCAGACCACTAATCACCAGCCAGTCTACCCCTGACTAATGGACTGTAATATGTACCTTACAATTAAAAATTTTATACCGTACAGCTATATTTTCCCAGCAGCGGTCAGCTTTGGGAATACCATTTCCTGCATTGGCTTATTTGGAATTTTCTTCATTTCCTCAGGAAAATCTACCTTTAAGCACTTGTGAAAATGCAATACACTACATAAGTGAACAGATTTAAAGACACTGCGTGACTATTTTGGCAGAATGCTGCTGTTTTTATTATACTGTTCTGAAACTTGAAGATGGCATAAGAACCTAAATCCAGAGTGGACTTTCCGGTCCAAACTAGAACATTTAAAAACGTGTAAATCTGGAAAGGAAAAACAAAAAGATACATACACACACCCCCTCGCACTTTAGCACCTTAATTGAAATACATTTTTTTTATTAATCCCAGGAAGATAAAAAAAAAAGTGACTGACTGTAACTTAGAATCATGTCACGATAAGACACTCAGAAAACATTGGCTGGATATTTTTTGTTTCTAGAACTTTCTTTTTGTAATTCCTGCCCTGATTTCTCCTCCTCTCCCTTGCACTAACATACCCACCGGATGAAGCGTTCGAAGAAGCTTGGCTTGTTGAGTACCGCATAGTCGTGGCCCCTGAAAATTGCCGACCTGTCGCCTAGCGCGAGCTTCTGTAGGACGGCATTGTCCACATCGTTGCCAATCGCCACTACGGTGGGCACTACGTCCTGCTTCCGCATGCTGCTGAGAGCCTCGTCCAAGCCCTCAGTAGATGTGTAGCCGTCGGTGATGAAGACGAAGGAGAGCTCGGCATTGCGCCGCACTTGCTGGACCCGCTGGTGCGAGATGATGTTGTCAATGGCATATGTGATGGCCGCACTTACGTTAGAGGAAGAATCCATATAGGTCATGCGGCTGAGGGCATCTGCGATCTCGTCGGCGTTGCGCATCAGCCGGAAGACGGAACGTTGCGTGCGATCGTCGCCGTAATGCAGCAGCGCCAGGCGGGCGTGCATCGCATCCGAGTCACCGTGCGCCAGCACTAGCCGGCGTGCCACACTCTCCAAGAACTCGCGCACCTTCCGGAAGTCCTCGTGGTCCATCCGCTCCGAGCCATCCAGCATGAAGATGAGGTCAACGGGGCGCTGGATACAGCTGGCCACAGATGGTTCTGAGGGGATAAAGCCCAACTTAGTTTCATGGCACCGATGACCGACGCTGGCAATCGCTAAAGATCGGGAGCAAACTCTACTGAAGTCCACCAAAGACCAGGTCAAAACTGCCATCCGCATTTGACCAGACAGCTGAAAATCTCTAATGGTCTCATCTGTTTACCGATCGCCTCGTGATCCCGAAGTCTTCATGGTCTTTCAATATCCGAAATAATCTGACTGCAGAAAATTTGCTCAACGATTTATTGCTTAATACTCTACAAGAGGGGTGCAGGAAAAAAATGGTACGAACGCAAGAAAAATTTGCAGCGGCATGTTTCACAGTACAAGAAACTGGAAACCTGTCTTCCGCAGTCGTTTTCCAGGGGAGATAAGGCACATGACTGTAACTTACAGTATATGGTATGTGAGCTATGGTGCTGCATGCACGCTTCAAAATCCTTACAAAACCGTCCAAACATATACAGAGTTCAGCTTCACTTCAGGCCTCACAATATTCTTTACAGCTTTACATTATATTAGGAACAATTTTATACATATATATTTATAACCAATATATAATTAGGTTTATATATCCAATAATAACGCTCATCATCTGACCTCAGACAAAAGTGGTTCATTTAAAGGGATTTTCTTAATTTCATCTAGTTCTCACTAACAGCTAATTAATGACCATATGTGGTACAACAACAGAGTGAGCTTTTGTTTACCACGTTTAATGAGATTTTGAAATTGGCCAAATATAGCTGAACACCATTTCTGAATGGCCATAAACTCCAGGGCCGAGACTGGAAGTCTTAATGTACTTCCCAAAACCCAAGACCAGACGTTTCTCGGTCTTTTCTTGAAATGTAATAACCTTCACATCAATGACAATTTCCTGTAGTTGTTTTCCATGCGAAGTGTTCATACACATCATTGCTATGTCAGCAGTATTATACACCAGAAGGTTTATAATACCGTTGGACCACTGGAAGCTGAGGGCACCTGCAGGACACATCTGGTAATAAATGCTCATTCCCAGACACCAGAAGCCAGGAGACAGCGGGCACAGCACATGCGGCATTTGGGAATGTGCAAAATCAGCTCGTTACGGTTAAATTCACATTTATCCATTATTCTTTATATGATATGCAGTTGGGCATGCAGTTCATGCTTGCAGTCCACACTTCTCCAGTTCTAGGTGTGTTTGTCTTAAGCTGGCCCAGAGAAAATATACTGAGGTTATTTCATGGGGGGGAGGGAAGTTGGGGGGAGAAGTGGCTCTATGAGGGCTTTGTGACTTGGCTTGGTCTGTCCGTCTAACACAATCCCAGCGCTTTGTCGGGGTCGCCCATGATGTCGGTGTACACCGCCCTGAACGACTCAATGAACAGCTTGGTCCACTGCTCCCTCTCGTCTCCCGAGGCAAACTTGGCGCGCTCCGCCGTGTATGCCAGGGTGGCCACGGCCAAGGGGTACTGCTGCTCGTCCTTCCGGGAGCGGAGCAGGTGAGAGACGCCGCGGAGCGTGGTGGGGACGGGGTTGCCGAACCCCTCCTCTGACACGGCTTCGAACGGCAGGTAGCCGTTCCGAGGGGGGGCCACATCTGAAAGTGAGCGGCAAGAACAATAGTGTAAAACGTGCCCCCCAGGAAGGCCGTTTGACCGCGCGTTCCGTTCCGGGACACGTTGTGGGCGGGGGGGGCAATGGCAGTAGGGATCAGGGCACTTAGGGAGATGGGCTCATCACTCGGAGATTCCGGATGTGATCCTCAGGAGGGGCTCGGACATGTAACCATTAACCAACCACGTAAACAGAAGCTGCTGTGTATACTGGGCCAAAGTTTCAGTTGATTTGGAGTTAGTGAAATGATCAGCTGCCTGATACTATATATGGAAAAACAGCATGAGACTGCATTTCTGACGTTTGCCTGCGATGTGAGGTAAACAAGGTGCATCGGCGTGTCAGTCTGAAGCAGAAATGCACCACGCGGTCGTCATTACACACATGAATGGGTGACTTCACTGTGGTCCATAAGCTGACAACATGCACAAGTTTAAAGACGAAGGAATCTGTCCCTTGTTATATTATGTTTATAAATGATATTATATTTTAATCTGGCAGTTCACCATTTTTGGAGGTGACTTCCACAGGATCTATCCTGCACAAAAGTCAACAACATCCAGCAACATGTGGGTCTGAACTGGGTAATATAGCATGTTTGTCCTCCATCCCTCGTGTCATCCCTCAGGTTCCATTTATTCTGATAATTATCCAACAAATTATCAAGGCTGCCCTATATATAATATTTACCTGACAATATTAATGATAACAATGAGCTGCATTTATCTAGTTTTTAAAATACCTTAAGCGATTTATATTTTTTTGAAGGATAAGTCACCCTGAACCCCCGAAGTTAGACACTCGTCGTTATACATGTCAGCCATTTTGAATTAGAATAGTCGGAACATTCTGCCATTTTGTGTGAGGAGGTGAGGAATTATGAAGCCACTGGATATTAGGTTTTCTGACTGGGTCTGGACACCAGGATTCACACCTCTAGTCTTCCCAAAAGTGAAAGTGAAGCCCTCCTCCATACTGTGTCCACTTCCCTGTATCGCCGTTCTGTCACCTCTTATCAGGTCACCCTGGAGACACTAGAGGAATCAATTATATTGTATCTAACATGTCTTTCTTGTCATCACTTTAATTCTATTTTACAATTGGCTCTCCGAAACCCCGCCTCATCCCAGCCTGGGCCAATCATATCCCACGTATTCATTGACCTTCTTCCATGACAGAATCTCATAGGTTCTCCAACACACATGTGGCGAGGATAGCGGTGCATAATGGCACATCCCCCACTGCATGAAATTAGAAGATCGTCTGTGCCTCAGAGCCCCCCAAGCTGAGGTCAATTAAAATCACTGAATCTCTTGATACTAGTTAAAACCCCACAATCTATGCCTGACATCCTACACCATTGGAGCTAATGATCACGATCAGCAGATGACCTAGCCTTAATTGACTAGATGCAGTGACTGCTTGTTTCTGATACCTAGTGCGAGTCTTTGCTATCACCGAATTCTCCTGTGCGTTTCTTGACGGACACTTGATTTAACCCATCGCTACTTTTA